AATTTTCTATAGAAATAAACTGTTAAAACTAAAATTTTTCTTTAAAGTAACTTTTATACAGAATTTTGTCTATAAAAACTGTTATAATCAACAGAAAAAACTGTTATACGAAAATTTTTTAAAGAAAAAAACTGTTATACTAAAATTTTTCTCTAGAAATACTGTTCTACTAAAATTTTTCAAAATAAAAACCACCAACAAACTGCTATATCGAAATTATTCTTTAAAAAAAATCTGTTATACTCTTTATTTTCTTATTTAAATACGATTTTCTTATTAAATATGAAACTCTCAGGGGTTTAATCATTAAAATTGCACCAGCTTAGAGAATTTGAAATATATTCTACTCAAACTTTCAAAGAATTTAAATTAAATAAAAGTCATTATTTTCATGTTTATTTAATTATTCATCAATTTATTTTAAATCAAAGCTTTTTTTCTATAATTTTACGTAGTACACTTGCACATTGATTTTTGTTGAATATTTAAACAAAAATAAAATAAATTTAACACCTTAAGGCGCCTATTTTATTGTTTTTACTTTTGTTTTGTTTACTTTCTGTATTTTATTTTCTTCTATTTTGTTTTTATTTTGTTATTTCTTTCTTAACACACAAATACTTCTTTGTAAATTATTATTTATTTCTTTTACTTTCATTTATTAAGAAAATAACTTAAATAATGTTGCTCTTTTAAGTAGTTAACACTGCCTCTCTCTCTCTCTCTCTCTTAAATTATCTTTCATTAAAATAAAAGCTTTTATATTTTTACTCTTTATTTGGCGAAACATTCACAGAATGTATAGAATTTTTGTTATATTTTTGCTATTCAATTGTTGGGGGGTTTTATTGCAAATACATTGCTAAAGTATTTCAGTACAATTTTATTATTTACTCCACTTGGGTGCGGTATAAAATAGAGAATTTTAAAATATAAAATAAAAAGAAATTTTGTGGTCGTGTCATCATATATAAAAAATTTTAATTAATTAATAAAACAAAAAAAAGTAATTAAATTATCTTTGAGAAAATTGCATTAAACTAAATATTATAAATTAGTTCTGGCAATTATTATTAAACAAATGTCTAACATGTGGTATGTTTTTCTAATAAATGTTTAGCTTCTACTGTTTTTAATTTAAATGCTTTCAAATTTTATATATTATTTGCTTTTTGTATGTACTTATTATTTGTTTATTTAAATTTTTCTATATAAATCATCATCGTCATCATTTGAACAAAATTAAATTCCAGTTTGTATTGCATTTAATTATTATTGTTTAAAACTTTTACGTAAAATTCCCAGTGTTCACTTATCTAGTTCAGGTTTTTTCATATTTTTTCAGTTCGAAAATATTTTATAAAAAAAACTTGCAATATTTCTTGTTATATTTCTATTGTTACTCTTTTTATTTAGTAAAAACATGCGCTCTCTTGTTTTGTTTTATATTAAAATCTCTTTCTTTATTTTCTTCTTTAGATTTGTTTTATTTAGTTTGGTGTGTAAAATTTTTTAAGGACTAGGTCAATTTTGGTCTCTCTAACATTTTGTAATATTATTGATTTTCTAAGTGTTTAAGTGTTATTGTAAATCCATTGACTTTTAATCAATGAACTTGATAGTGTTTACTATTACAGATTTATTTAATTTTCAAATTTGTTTAAAAATCTATTCAAAAAGCTATAATTTCTGAAAGAATAACTGTTATACTAATTGTTTTTATATGGTAAAAACTGTTATACAGACATTCGTTTTTGGCAAAACTATTATACTAAAATTTTTCTATAGAAACACTGTTATAAAGAAAATATCTATAAAAAATACTCAATACTCAATTTTTTCTGTAGAAAAAAGTATATTGAACTGTTTCTATAGAAAAAACTGTTATACTGAAATTTGTCTAAAAAATGTTATTTATAAAAATACTGTTATACTACTATAAAATGTTATACTACTATATACAAACTTTTCTTCAGGTCTACTTCAGCTCTAGTTTAGTTCTGGTTCAGTTCTAGTTCAGTTCTAGTTCAGTTCTAGTTCAGTTCTAGTTCAGTTCTAGTTCAGTTCTAGTTCAGTTCTAGTTTAGTTCAGTTCTAGTTCAGTTCTAGTTCAGTTCTAGTTCAGTTCAGTTCTAGTTCAGTTCTAGTTCAGTTCTAGTTCAGTTCTAGTTCAGTTCTAGTTCAGTTCTACTTCAGTTCTAGTTCAGTTCTACTTCAGTTCTACTTCAGTTCTAGTTCAGTTCTAGTTCAGTTCTAGTTCAGTTCTACTTCAGTTCTAGTTCAGTTCTAGTTCAGTTCTAGTTCAGTTCTAGTTCAGTTCTAGTTCAGTTCTAGTTCAGTTCTAGTTCAGTTCTAGTTCAGTTCTAGTTCAGTTCTAGTTCAGTTCTAGTTCAGTTCTAGTTCAGTTCTAGTTTCAGTTCTAGTTCAGTTCTAGTTCAGTTCTAGTTCAGTTCTAGTTCAGTTCTAGTTCAGTTCTAGTTCAGTTCTAGTTCAGTTCTAGTTCAGTTCTAGTTCAGTTCTAGTTCAGTTCTAGTTCAGTTCTAGTTCAGTTCTAGTTCAGTTCTAGTTCAGTTCTAGTTCAGTTCTAGTTCAGTTCTAGTTCAGTTCTAGTTCAGTTCTAGTTCAGTTCTAGTTCAGTTCTAGTTCAGTTCTAGTTCAGTTCTAGTTCAGTCTAGTTCAGTTCTAGTTCAGTTCTAGTTCAGTTCTAGTTCAGTTCTAGTTCATTCTAGTTCAGTTCTAGTTCAGTTCTAGTTCAGTTCTAGTTCAGTTCTAGTTCAGTTCTAGTTCAGTTCTAGTTCAGTTCTAGTTCAGTTCTAGTTCAGTTCTAGTTCAGTTCTAGTTCAGTTCTAGTTCAGTTCTAGTTCAGTTCTAGTTCAGTTCTAGTTCAGTTCTAGTTCAGTTCTAGTTCAGTTCTAGTTCAGTTCTAGTTCAGTTCTAGTTCAGTTCTAGTTCAGTTCTAGTTCAGTTCTAGTTCAGTTCTAGTTCAGTTCTAGTTCAGTTCTAGTTCAGTTCTAGTTCAGTTCTAGTTCAGTTCTAGTTCAGTTCTAGTTCAGTTCTAGTTCAGTTCTAGTTCAGTTCAGTTCAGTTCTAGGTTAGTCAGTTCTAGTTCGTTCTAGTTCAGTTCTACTTCAGATCTAGTTCAATTCTAGTTCAGATCTAGTTCAGTTCTAGTTCAGTTCTAGTTTAGTTCTAGTTTAGTTCTAGTTTAGTTCTAGTTCAGTTCTAGTTCGGTTCTAGTTCAGTTCTACTTCAGTTCTAGTTCAATTCTAGTTCAGATCTAGTTCAGTTCTAGTTCAGTTCTAGTTCAGTTCTAGTTCAGTTCTTGTTCAGTTCTAGTTCAGTTCTAGTTCAGTTGTAGTTCAGTTCTAGTTCAGTTCTAGTTCAGTTCTAGTTCAGTTTTAGTTCAGTTCTAGTTCAGTTCTAGTTCAGTTCTAGTTCAGTTCTAGTTCAGTTCTAGTTCAGTTCTAGTTCAGTTCTAGTTCAGTTCTAGTTCAGTTCTAGTTCAGTTGTAGTTCAGTTCTAGTTCAGTTCTAGTTCAGTTCTAGTTCAGTTCTAGTTCTAGTTCAGTTCTAGTTCAGTTCTAGTTTAGTTCTAGTTAAGTTCTAGTTTAGTTCTAGTTTAGTTCTAGTTCAGTTCGAGTTCAGTTTAGTTCAGTACTAGTTTAGTTCTAGTTCAGATCTAGTTCAGTTTAAATTAATTTTTTATTACAAATTGTCTAAAGATCACATTTTACAATAGAAATCTAAGTAAAATGCATAATTAAAAAAACAGTTTTAGAAATATTTTTTTTTTAAATTACACTTTTTGACTTAGTACATTATAGGGTTAATAGTGATTTAAAATTGCGCTAGTATTTCTTTCTCTCTACCTCTCTCTTTGTATAATTGTAAATATTATTACATTTCTTTTGTTTTTTTTTTTTTTTTTTTCTCTTATACGCCAAAAATATTTTTCCAATTTTATTATTACAACAAAACTAAAAATAATACTCAATGCAACTTGTTGTTTTTTCTTGTATCTCTATTTATCACTTAAGAGAATTAGACGGCAAGAGTCTTTTCTATTACATATTACAACTATTTTCTTTTCTCTATCATTTCTATCATACATAAACAACAAATACTATATATGAACTAACTCACTACTATCTAAAAAAAATACAATAGTAAAAGAGTAATGAGTAAAGTACTTATAATAACAACACCAACCAACAACTTACCTAACAACCAACCAAACTATCTATCATAATATTATTTTTTATTATTTTTGTTTTGTTCATGGAAACACTGTTGTTGTAGTTGTTGCTGTTTTTTCTTTAATATTAGTCAGACTAGTACAACAAATACACTCTCTATGTTGTCGTGTTGTGTATTTTAAAGGTTCGTTTATTATTTGTATGAGTTTTAATTTTTTCTACATATTTATTTATCAACTTGTTTTCTATTGAATATTTTTCTTGTATATTTTTTCATTTTTTTTTCATATACATCAGCAGTCGTTTGTTTGAACCGAACAGTGTTTGGCATTTTAAAGCGAAAACAATTGCAATTTTTGTTTGTTTTTGTGAAGTTATAGAAAATAAAGAAAATAATTGTACAAATATTTTTAACAAACGAAAAAAAGAAGAAAATAATTTATTAAAAACAGTCTGTTAATCAATAAAATTACAAAGATTTTATAAAAATCTGTTGCAAAGTAAATATTTTTATATAGAAAATAGTGCTGAATTTGTCATTTTGTTATAATTATCTAGTTGAGTTTTCCAAATGTGTATGTGTGTATTTTTTTACAATAATATTATGCTGCCATTAGTAATAATTTATTTTGAATTTTCTTTAGTTTTCCTTTTTTGCTTTATTGTTTTTGTTTTTCTAACCTTCTGTCTGTTTAAGTTTTTATTGTGTTATAGCAAAAGGTCAATTATTTTTTGTCCACAATATTTTAAAATTTAAGATTCCTTTTAAAATCGTATTAAATTTTTTCCACTTTCTATTTTTCTAGATCTATGGGCATTTTATTGCCACCCGTTTCCCAAGTGACTAATACCCGCATTAATTTAACCCAACATCATCGTAATCGTAGCCTGGATAGTGCTTTACAAAGGATACCAGAGGTGAGTTAAATTTTAACATATTTTCCCATTTTATGTAATAGAAATTAGGAAATTATAAAATAAAAGCTTAGTAGACTTACGTATTTTAATTATTTTATATTTCCCACATCATTGTATCCAAAATTTTCTTTCTGAGTCGATTTATATACATACATACATACATACATACATACATACATACATACATACATACATACATACATACATACATACATACATACATACATACATACATACATACATACATACATACATACATACATACATACATACATACATACATACATACATACATACATACATACATACATACATACATACATACATACATACATACATACATACATACATACATACATACATACATACATACATATATGTATGTCCATTCAGTTCTAGTTTAGTTCAGTTCTGGTTTAGTTCTAGTTTAGTTCGTTCTAGTTCAGTTCTAGTTCAGTTCGTTCTAGTTCAGTTCTAGTTTAGTTCGTTCTAGTTCAGTTCTAGTTCAGTTCGTTCTAGTTCAGTTCTAGTTCAGTTCAGTTCTAGTTCAGTTCTAGTTCAGTTCTAGTTCAGTTCTAGTTCAGTTCTAATTCAGTTCTAGTTCAGTTCTAGTTCAGTTCTAGTTCAGTTCTAATTCAGTTCTAGTTCAGTTCTAGTTCAGTTCTAGTTCAGTTCTAGTTCAGTTCTAGTTCAGTTCTAGTTCAGTTCTAGTTCAGTTCTAGTTCAGTTCTAGTTCAGTTCTTGTTCAGTTCTAGTTCAGTTCTAGTTCAGTTCTTGTTCAGTTCTAGTTCTGTTCGTTCTAGTTCAGTTCTAGTTCAGTTCTAGTTCAGTTCTAGTTCAGTTCTAGTTCAGTTCTAGTTCAGTTCTAGTTCAGTTCTAGTTCAGTTCTAGTTCAGTTCTAGTTCAGTTCTAGTTTAGTTCAGTTTCTTAGTTCAGTTCTAGTTCAGTTCTAGTTCAGTTCTAGTTCAGTTCTAGTTCAGTTCTAGTCAGTTCTAGTTCAGTTCTAGTTCAGTTCTAGTTCAGTTCTAGTTCAGTTCTAGGTTAGTTCTAGTTCAGTTCTAGTTCAGTTCTAGTTCAGTTCTAGTTCAGCTCTAGTAAAAGGTCTAGTTCAGTTTTAGTTCATTCTAGATAAGCTCTAGTTCAGTTCTAGTTCATTTCTAGTTCAGTTCAAGTTTCAGTTCTAGTTCAATTGTAGTTCAGTTCTAGTTCAGTTCTAGTTCAGTTCTAGTTCAGTTTCTAGTTCAGTTCTAGTTCAGTTCTAGTTCAGTTCTAGTTCAGTTCTTGTTCAGTTCTAGTTCAGTTCTAGTCCAGTCTAGTTCAGTTCTAGTTCACTTCTAGTTCAGTTCTAGTTTAGTTCTAGTTCAGTTCTAGTTCATTTCTAGTTCAGTTCTAGTTCAGTTCTAGTTCCGTAGTTCAGTTCTAGTTCAGTTGTAGTTCAGTTGTAGTTCAGTTCTAGTTCAGTTCTAGTTCAGTTGTAGTTCAGTTCTAGTTCAGTTCTAGTTCAGTTCTAGTTCAGTTCTAGTTCATTTCTAGTTCAGTTCTAGTTCAGTTCTAGTTCAGTTCTTGTTCAGTTCTAGTTCAGTTCTAGTCCAGTTCTAGTTCAGTTCTAGTTCACTTCTAGTTCAGTTCTAGTTTAGTTCTAGTTCAGTTCTAGTTCATTTCTAGTTCAGTTCTAGTTCAGTTCTAGTTCAGTTCTAGTTCAGTTCTAGTTCAGTTCTAGTTCAGTTCTAGTTCAGTTCTAGTTCAGTTCTAGTTCAGTTCTAGTTCAGTTCTAGTTCAGTTCTAGTTCAGTTCAAGTTCAGTTCTAGTTCAGTTGTAGTTCAGTTCTAGTTCAGTTCTAGTTCAGTTCTAGTTCAGTTCTAGTTCAGTTCTAGTTCAGTTCTAGTTCATTCTAGTTCAGTTCTAGTTCAGTTCTAGTTCAGTTCTAGTTCAGTTCTAGTTCAGTTCTAGTTCAGTTCTAGTTCAGTTCTAGTTCAGTTCTAGTTCAGTTCTAGTTCAGTTCTAGTTCAGTTCTAGTTCAGTTCTAGTTCAGTTCTAGTTCAGTTCTAGTTCAGTTCTAGTTCTAGTTCTAGTTCAGTTCTAGTTCAGTTCTAGTTCAGTTCTAGTTCAGTTCTAGTTCAGTTCTAGTTCAGTTCTAGTTCAGTTCTAGTTCAGTTCTAGTTCAGTTCTAGTTCAGTTTCTAGTTCAGTTCTAGTTCAGTTCTAGTTCAGTTCTAGTTCAGTTCTAGTTCAGTTCTAGTTCAGTTCTAGTTCAGTTCTAGTTCAGTTCTAGTTCAGTTCTAGTTCAGTTCTAGTTCAGTTCTAGTTCAGTTCTAGTTCAGTTCTAGTTCAGTTCTAGTTCAGTTCTAGTTCAGTTCTAGTTCAGTTCTAGTTCAGATCTAGTTCAGTTCTAGTTCAGTTCTAGTTCAGTTCTTGTTCAGTTCTAGTTCAGTTCTAGTTCAGTTCTAGTTCAGTTCTAGTTCAGTTCTAGTTCAGTTCTAGTTCAGTTCTAGTTCAGTTCTAGTTCAGTTCTAGTTCAGTTCTAGTTCAGTTCTAGTTCAGTTCTAGTTCAGTTCTAGTTCAGTTCCAGTTCAGTTCTAGTTCAGTTCTAGTTCGATTCTAGTTTAGTTCTAGTTCATTTCTAGTTCAGTTCTTATTCAGTTGTAGTTCAGTTCTAGTTCAGTTCTAGTTCAGTTCTAGTTTAGTTCTAGTTTAGTTCTAGTTTAGTTCTAGTTTAGTTCTAGTTCAGTTCTTGTTCAGTTCTAGTTCAGTTCTAGATCAATTCTAGTTCAGTTCCAGTTCAGTTTTTGTTTAGTTCTTTCAGTTCTAGTTCAGGTGGTTCGGATCGGTTCAGTTCTAGTGCAGTTCTTGTTCATTTCTAGATGTATTTTAGTTCTAATTAAATTCCAATTGATCATCAATTGTGAATATTTTTACTCAAATAGTGAATCTTTTCATACTACAACTTAATCATCAATTGCCGATCTATTGAGAGTAGTAATTGATCATAAATATTTCAAAATTCTCTACAACAATTTTATCGAGTCAATATTCTAATGACAATTTCCAGCTGTTTTATTATAATTTGTTTTTATATTGTTTTAATATTAACAGTATTTATCAATAACTTTGTCTTTAATTAATGTCATGTTATCTTAAAATATTTCTATATACATACTGCTAAATATAAAAAATGAAATATTTGTGATATTTACTTGTTATTTTTTTATCAACTACTCGCAGACATGAGAGTAGTAAGTAAATATCTAGTAGTATAAACTTTCTTCGTATACAAATTTATTTATGGCGACTGGGAATTATAATAATATATTTTAAATAATCTCTAAATTAAAGTAATTTAAATACTCAGTAGATAAATAAAATTGTTATCAAAGTTGAAAAGAAACATTTAAATATTGTAATGCCTGCAACAGTTGACATTTTTCAAAATTATAATTAAATCCTTTTTAATATTTCAACTAAATATTGTACAATTGTAGCTTATATATACATATGTACTATCTGCTCTTAATAAGCCAACATTAGTAACTTTATCTCTCTTATATTTTTGTGTGTTTAGGTTGAAGTCTCTTCGCCCAATGCCGAGAGTGAGAATACATTTTGTACACCATCTATTCTGGGGTCAACAATGTGTTCGAAAATTGTAACGACCGCAGCAAATGTAACAGCGGCGCTTACCACCACCCAAACACCCGCACTGACGTCATCGACAACAACAAATGCCTCAACGGCAGCAGCCGTTAATGCAGCAGCTTCATCATCACCATCATCCTGTTCTGCGTATGAAAAAGCTGCAATTGAAACTGTTTCAACAACAGAACCCACAAGCATATTGACAGCATTACAATCAACAACAGCTGGATCGGGTGCAGGAGGAGGCGGAGGAGTGGGAGCATTACACAATGATATTAATAACACAGTCATAGGTATGTAGCGAAATGAAATGTTATATTTCCTTTACTTCACTCTATGAATACAAATATTCTTTTGTACGTCGTGGACTAGATTTACAATTTTAATTGCAATTTTACAAACATGCATTTAACATATTGTGTACATACATACTTACATACATAAATATTATGTGTATTTATATTATTATTTAATTTTCTGTTTTAATTTTGTATTTTTGTTGTTGTTGATTTCTCCATTATAGTAGAGCCATATTGTCCTAGCACACGTTTACGACCTAAATCATCAGATTCTGCCACATCATCATCTTCATCTACGGTACAACGAGCTGCTTCATCAGCATCTACTGCTTCCTCTAATGCTTCATCAACAAATTCATCATTTGCTAGTGGTTCAAATAATGCTCTAGCCGTTATAACCGGTTCAAGTCATGTCAATCAAAATGGTAAAAAGCGAGAGGATCTAACCAGTCTTGGCTCAGATGATTCTGGTAAGTTGGATGTAGAGACATATTATACAACAGATAAAGACATAATTTCATTAAAACTGCATTGGTCTAGTACTTAAATAAACATTTTATTTGATTTTTGTCTACATATTTGTACATTTTAGTCAGAATGTTCAGTTCAAATTCAGTTCTACTTCAGTTGTAGTTCCGTTCTATTCTATTTCTAGTTTAGGTCTAGTGCAATTCTAGTTTAGTTCTAGTTCAGTTCTAGTTCAGTTCTAGTTCAGTTCTAGTTCAGTTCTAGTTCAGTTCTAGTTCAGTTCTAGTTCAGTTCTACTTCAGCTCTAGTTCAGTTCTAGTTCAGTTCTAGTTTAGTTCTAGTTCAGTTCAGTTCTAGTTCAGTTCAGTTCTAGTTCAGTTCAGTTCTAGTTCAGTTCAGTTCTAGTTCAGTTCTAGTTCAGTTCTAGTTCAGTTCTAGTTCAGTTCTAGTTCAGTTCTAGTTCAGTTCTAGTTCAGTTCTAGTTCAGTTCTAGTTCAGTTCTAGTTCAGTTCTAGTTCAGTTCTAGTTCAGTTCTAGTTCAGTTCTAGTTCAGTTCTAGTTCAGTTCTAGTTCAGTTCTAGTTCAGTTCTAGTTCAGTTCTAGTTCAGTTCTAGTTCAGTTCTAGTTCAGTTCTAGTTCAGTTCTAGTTCAGTTCTAGTTCAGTTCTAGTTCAGTTCTAGTTCAGTTCTAGTTCAGTTCTAGTTCAGTTCTAGTTCAGTTCTGTTCAGTTCTAGTTCAGTTCTAGTTCAGTTCCAGTTCAGTTCTAGTTCAGTTCTAGTTCAGTTCTAGTTCAGTTCTAGTTCAGTTCTAGTTCAGTTCAGTTCTAGTTCAGTTCTAGTTCAGTTCTAGTTCAGTTCTAGTTCAGTTCTAGTTCAGTTCTAGTTCAGTTCTAGTTCAGTTCTAGTTCAGTTCTAGTTCAGTTCTAGTTCAGTTCTAGTTCAGTTCTAGTTCAGTTCTAGTTCAGTTCTAGTTCAGTTCTAGTTCAGTTCTAGTTCAGTTCTAGTTCAGTTCTAGTTCATTTCTAGTTCAGTTCTAGTTCAGTTCTAGTTAAGTTCAGTTCTAGTTCAGTTCTAGTTCAGTTCTAGTTCAGTTCTAGTTCAGTTCTTGTTCAGTTCTAGTTCTAGTTCAGTTCTAGTTCAGTTCTAGTTCAGTTCTAGTTCAGTTCTAGTTCATTTCTAGTTCAGTTCTAGTTCAGTTCTAGTTCAGTTCAGTTCTAGTTCTAGTTCTAGTTCAGTTCTAGTTCAGTTCTAGTTCAGTTCTAGTTCAGTTCTAGTTCAGTTCTTGTTCAGTTCTAGTTCAGTTCTAGTTCAGTTCTAGTTCAGTTCTAGTTCAGTTCTAGTTCAGTTCTAGTTCAGTTCTAGTTCAGTTCTAGTTCAGTTCTAGTTCAGTTCTAGTTCAGTTCTAGTTCAGTTCTAGTTCAGTGCTAGTTCAGTTCTAGTTCAGTTCTAGTTCAGTTCTAGTTCAGTTCTAGTTCAGTTCTAGTTCAGTTCTAGTTCAGTTCCAGTTCAGTTCAAGTTCTGTTCTAGTGGAAACGTAAACTCTAAACACAAATATATATGTTAAAATAAAACAAATGTCAATCAATGTCTTTTCCTATATTCCAGGAATAATTTGTGGTTCTGATTCCGATCAAATCTCTTTAAATCGCATACGACATTCTCACGAATCCCTAGATTCCGGTGAAATGGATAATGAGGAAGAATGCATGGATATGCTGGAAACCACATCAATGGATGAGGAATACAATATGTTACAATCGGATCTGCGTTTCTATCAATCACCCGACACAGACTGTCGCACTCTCAGACCCTCTAAAAAGAAACACAGCAATATTATACAACAACATCCTGATAATAATGTGGATAAAACCCTAAATGCTGATGATATGGGTGGTGAAGTTGATGATGACTTGGAAGCAGCTGGTGAGGGAGATACCTTAAGTGAACGTCAACGTTATAGAGAAATGAACATGTCTCAAGCCGCTATAAATATGGAAAAATGTAAAATTTCCTCGGACACTGACAACACAATACAAAATGATAATACTTCGGCAGATGTAGTAGACTGTCCAACGCCCACTTTAAATACTAGCACACCAGCTGTCGCTACAACATCTGTTGGGGGTAGTAGTGGTAATAAAACCCCCTCCACACCTAGTGAATCATCGAAAAACGATGTTCTGTTCAAGAATTTCTTTGGTGCCACTAAAAATGCTATATTCCGCACAGCTCAGAGTATAATCGAAAATCACGAAAAGAAAAATGCCTCAAAACAAAATCAGAAATCTAATGAGGAAAATACTAACACAGCTGGTGGTGCTGCAACTCCCACAGAGCAAATAAAATCTCCTACGGACATTTCGAAAAAGAAAGAATTCTTTAGTTTATTAACAACAAATGCTAGTAAGAAAGCAGCAGCTGCTGCTGCAGCCGCCGCTTTAGCCAATACACCGGCCACAACTCCCTCAACACCCGGACAGGAACAACCCGGAATTAATGAAAAATCTAACGATAAAGATAATACATCGGCAACGACGGAGTGTATGGAGAAAACGTTAAGCTTACAAGTACCTAATGCCACTTCCTCCTTCAACTCAATTATTAATAATAATTCTTTAACTATAACGAAATCATCTTCCATATCATCTTTGAACAAGCTCAAAGTACCCGGTGTAGTGAAATGTTTTATCAAAGAGCGTCCTACAACTTCGCAGGATTTAGCGAATCAACAAAAGACTGAAAAAGGTCCCAGTGGCCTATTGAGATTTTTTGAATCCCCAGTTTTTAACATACATTTCGCCATACATTATCTCTTCTATTCCAAAGAACCGGGAGTTCTTAGTTTTATAGGCAACAAAATCTTCAGTTTCCCCGACCAGGAGGTAGATTTGTATATACCACAACTGATTGTCATGTATATACAAATGGATGAGTTGGCGGAAGTATTAGATCCCTATTTGACCATTAGATGTCGTAAATCGGTAGACTTTTCTCTAAAGTGCCTATGGCTATTGGAGGCCTATAATTATCAACATGTAGATACTATGGGTAGTCGTAAGTCGCAATTGGCATTAATGAAAGAGATCTTCTCAAAGAAAGAACGCAAGCAGTTGAGTAAAGGTGATGCAAAGGAGACACCAGTGTCGCAGTTGGCACAGCCCGCTGCAGCAGCTGTACCAGGCGTTGTTTCTCCTTTGACCAAAAAAACCCATCACAGATCACAATCAGATGCCACAGTACTGTTGGCCGACTCCAGACGTGCTAATTCTAATTTAAGTATATCAAATCGACTGTATCAACAACCCCCCTACACAACACAAACCTTGCCTACCACACCCGCCAAATTATGTCTCGGAGATTTAACTTCCGGCCGCGCCTTTGACAATGGCTGCACTTGTTTCGAAACGGTGCGCGGTCAGGTCAACGATTTGCTTGGCCACAAGACGGTGTGTTCATGCAGTGCCCCCAAAACTGCTCCCCAAAAGGAGTTCATGAAAGCTCTCATCAATGTTGGGAAAAATCTAACCAATCTTCCCTCGAAGGCGGAAAAGACTTCGGCCTTGAGAATGTTTTTGAATTTGATTAATAAAAATCTTCCGGCCCGCGTTTGGTTACCCTTGTATTCAGACATTCCACATCATGTTGTGCGCATCACAGAGGAAAAGACTGCTGTTTTAAATTCGAAAGATAAGACACCCTACATCATCTATGTGGAAGTGGTAGAAGTGCCCGATATCTACTCTTCATCTCTCATACCCAAAATGATGCCATCACTGCGTCATACAAAATCCGAGGAACATTTAGAGGGTGGTCTTACCACCGCCACCAACACCACTTGCCAACATTCTCAACATCAACATCATGCCATTTGTAGTCGTACTTCCAGTTGTAGTAGTCATAGTGGTTCATCAACGTGTAGACGTAAAAAGGAAAAGCTGTTGTCGGAATCATCGACAGGCATAAGTGGCGAACAACAGCAACAGTGTTCTTCTACGGAACATAATACAACAACTGCTACTAATACAGCAGCAGCCAGCAGTAGCAGTGTTGGTGGTTGTTTAGCGCCACCTCAGCTGAACGAAGATGATGTTTGGTCTCAAGAGGACGATGAGATAACGGCTCAATATCTACACATGCGTAAAATGCGTTCACAATCCGAACGTGATGCCATTTCACAGATGTCCCTGGACTCTTGTGATTCAAGGGATCAAGGTAAGTTTATATTTGAAGGAGTTTAAAGGGAGTTTTTAATATTAATTTGTATTTACCAATCAGCCATGCCCGTTTTATTCAATATTGGAGATGTACGTACCCGCCATTGTAATAATTTAAATTGTGAAAATACAAAATCATTTAGCAATGATCCTGAAGATCCCTCAGCAGCAGCTCTTAAGGTAATTATTAACATTATATTACTTTGAAGAAATATTTGGTTTTAATTTCGGTTTAGACTAAAACAAAATTACAAATTGGGCGAATACTAATATCGGTTCTATTTTGGCCTGCATATAGGTTGAACTAATTATTTCTACGCTTCTTAATATGTTGCTTTTATTATTCCAAATTAACAGGAACCTTGGCATGAAAAAGAAAAACAAATACGTGAATCTTCACCCTATGGACACCTCTCCAATTGGCGTCTTCTATCAGCCATTGTTAAGTGTGGAGATGATTTGCGGCAAGAGCTAATGGCCACCCAATTGTTACATGTAAGTTTCCTTAGTATAACTTATAATTTTCTTGATAGTAAGTCTTATTTTATAAATTTTTTACATTCAGATGTTCAAAATCATTTGGCAAGAAGAACATGTTGATCTCTGGGTGCGTCCTTATAAAATAGTCTGTCTCTCCAATGATAGTGGTTTGATTGAGCCTATTTTGAATACGGTGTCATTGCATCAAATCAAAAAGAATTCCAATAAATCTTTACGCGATTATTTCATCGATGAATATGGTCCAACTGAAAGTGATGCTTTTCGTTTGGCTCAAAAGAATTTCGTACAAAGTTGTGCAGCATATTGTTTAATATCGTATCTGTTGCAAGTTAAAGATCGGTAAGTTTTGCAAATATTTTCTAATGGAGCGATTTTTGAAATGATATTTATTTGATAATTTTCTTATTTCCTTAGGCATAATGGCAATATACTGTTACACTCTGATGGCCATATTATACACATTGATTTTGGTTTTATTTTAAGCATATCACCTAAAAATTTAGGTAAGTCTTGATATTTTCCATTTCAACTTTTAAAATAGTGTTTGTAATTGTTTGTTTTCCTTTCCTTTCCTTTTTATAGGTTTCGAACAATCTCCTTTCAAATTGACTCCTGAATTTGTGGATGTCATGGGTGGCACAAACTCTGAACATTGGCGTGAATTTAATCGTTTATTGTTGGTGGGCATGATGACCGCTCGCAAACATATGGATCGTATAATCAATTTTGTTGAAATTATGCGCAGCAGTAAGTATTTTAAATAAAATGACATTTACCAGACCTCTAAATTGAAAAGATTTACACAATTATTATAGTCTAAAGTCTAGTCTATAGTCAAGTCTATAGTCTAGTCTATAGTCTAGTCTATAGTCTAGTCTATAGTCTAGTCTATAGTCTAGTCTATAGTCTAGTCTTTAGTCTAGTCTATCGTCTAGTCTATTGTCTAGTCTATAGTCTAGTCTATAGTCTAGTCTATAGTCTAGTCTATAGTCTAGTCTATAGTCTAGTCTATAGTCTAGTCTATAGTCTAGTCTATAGTCTAGTCTATAGTCTAGTCTAGTCTAGTCTATAGTCTAGTCTATAGTCTAGTCTATAGTCTAGTCCAGCGGTTCCCACAGATTTTTACTTCGCGGACCCCTTGAAGAACTTATTTAATTTCGCGGACCCCCATACATATTTTGATATCTTATTGTTCTAAATAATTGTCCATCCGAAAATTGACCTGGTTCATTAATCCCTAGGTCTAATAAATGTAGAGATGACATATCTATAAAATATTCCCGTACATTGAGAATATATAATATTTCAGATAGGTTTTCAATTGCATGTTTTGAAGATAGAATGACTTCTTTGTTGATATGTTAACATGATGTTTAATTTTATGATCGTGAGATCTTTCATGTTCATTTTTCTTCAAGGTAGCGAAAAGGTTTATTTATCAAATATTGTCACATGTGCTTAAGGAGTCACGTTTCAAAAATTTGTTGCGATTGCAAAGGGTGAACTGAGTAAGTGAGCTAAGTTTTCGGGAAAATATTATAAGAAAGTTGGACTTCTTCTATGTTGTTGCGGAATGCGTTATCCGCATAATATATGATTTGAACTCTTTGTTAAAGTACTGTAAATTTGAAACTTAAATTTGAATTTTAAAATACCACCGAATTATTTTACTTCATGGTTTTTGGCTACATATTTACGCGAAACGCTATGGATTTTCTGATGTTAATTTAATAATATGTATTGGTCGACAAAATCAAGTTAAAATCTGTGTATCACGTCGGATTGGAATATTTGTAAAGACATGCATAAAGAATCACCTCTGGAAATATATAATTTTAATCCATTCAAACGAGAAAACTTTTGCTTACAATTTGATAAACTTAAATCTGTAATAAGCTTGTCTTTGAATTGAACTTCATACTCCGGAATACCAGTATCCCTAATTTAATTGTAAGGCAGAGTATTATTTGTCTGAAATAAAAACCATTATTTCAGTACATATACAGGAAATAAAAATTACAAATCACGCAGTACTTTACTTTATAAAAGTTATATAAATTTGTAGGGCCTAGCTTCCTGATAAACAACCGAAAAAATAAAATTCAAAAAGTCACCAAAAATTTGGGATTATTGCTCAAAAATTGGAGATATTTGTACATACATATAAAAGCAGAATATTGTTTATTCATGGTTTTTTTCGTTCGTCTTCGCGGACCCCCTAGGATTTTACTACGGACCACTAGGGGTCCGCGGACCCCCATTTGGGAACCGTTGGTCTAGTCTGTAGTCTAGTCTATAGTCTAGTCTAGTCTATAGTCTAGTCTATAGTCTAGTCTAGTCTATAGGCTAGTCTATAGTCTAGTCTATAGTCTAGTCTATAGTCTAGTCTATAGTCTAGTCTATAGTCTAGTCTATAGTCTAGTCTATAGTCTAGTCTATAGTCTAGTCTATAGTCTAGTCTATAGTCTAGTCTATAGTCTAGTCTATAGTCTAGTCTATAGTCTAGTCTATAGTCTAGTCTATAGTCTAGTCTATAGTCTAGTCTATAGTCTAGTCTATAGTCTAGTCTATAGTCTAGTCTATAGTCTAGTCTATAGTCTAGTCTATAGTCTAGTCTATAGTCTAGTCTATAGTCTAGTCTATAGTCTAGTCTATAGTCTAGTCTATAGTGTAGTCTATAGTCTAGTCTATAGTCTAGTCTATAGTCTAGTCTATAGTCTAGTCTATAGTCTAGTCTATAGTCTAGTCTAGTCTATAGTCTAGTCTATAGTCTAGTCTAGTCTATAGTCTAGTCTATAGTCTAGTCAGTCTAGTCTATAGTCTAGTCTATAGTCTAGTCTATAGTCTAGTCTATAGTCTAGTCTATAGTCTAGTCTATAGTGTAGTCTATAGTCTAGTCTATAGTCTAGTCTATAGTGTAGTCTATAGTGTAGTCTATAGTCTAGTCTATAGTCTAGTCTATAGTCTAGTCTATAGTCTAGTCTATAGTCTAGTCTATAGTCTATAGTCTATAGTGTAGTCTATAGTCTAGTCTATAGTCTAGTCTATAGTGTACTCTATAGTCTAGTCTATAGTTTAGTCTATAGTCTAGTCTATAGTCTAGTCTATTGTCTAGTCTATAGTCTAGTCTATAGTCTAGTCTATAGTCTAGTTTATAGTCTAGTCTATAGTCTAGTCTATAGTCTAGTCTATAGTCTAGTATATAGTTTAGTCTATAGTTTAGTCTATAGTTAGTCTATAGTTTAGTCTATAGTATAGTCTAAAGTCCAGTCTATAGTCCAGTCTATAGTCTAGTCTGTAGTTTAGGGTATAGTTTAGTCTATAGTCTAGTCTAAAGTCCAGTCTATAGTCCAGCCTATAGACTAGTCTATAGTTTAGTCTATAATCTAGTCTAAAGTCCAGTCTATAGTCCAGTCAATAGTTTAGTCTATAGTTCAGTCTATAGTTTAGTTTATAGTTTAGTCTATAGTTTAGTCTATAGTTTTGTCTATAGTCTAGTCTAAAGTCCAGTCCAGTCTATAGCCTAGTCTATAGTTTAGTCCATAGTCTAGTCTAAAGTCCAGTCTATAGTCCAGTCTATAGTCTAGCTTATAGTCTTGTCTATTCTATAGTATAATCTATTAACTAGTCTTTGACTAGTCTATATTCTAGTCTATTCTATATTCTTGTCTATAGTCTAGTCTATAGTCTATTCTATAGTCTAGTCTATAGTCTAGTCTATAGTCTATTCTATAGTCTAGTCTATAGTCTAGTCTATAGTCTAGTCTATAGTCTATTCTATAGTCTAGTCTATAGTCTAGTCTATAGTCTAGTCTATAGTCTGGTCTATAGTCTAATATATAGTCTAGTCTATAGTAGTCTTTAGTCTAGTCTTTAGACTAGTCTATATTCTAGTCTATCGTCTATGGCTTAGTCTATAGTCTAGTTTTTAATCACGTCTGTAGTCTAATCTATAAAATCTTTTAGATTTTTTTATTATTTTCACTTACTAACTTCCCTTTCTCTTTTTCTAGACGCCCAATTACCATGCTTCAAAAATGGTTGCTCCGGAACCGTACAGAATCTCCGCAAACGTTTCCACATGAACTTAACCGAACAGGAAATGGAACGTAAAGTTGAACAATTGGTACAAGATTCCCTAAAGAGTCTTTCGACCAAATTATACGATGGCTATCAGTACTATACGAATGGCATATTGTGAGAAAGGTTTTTTATGAAAATTTAAACACCAAAACAGAAAGCAAATCCAGCAAATGGTGTAAAAGAACTTGAGTGTTTAATATTAACATAAAAGAGAAGAAAATAATTCATGAGAAAAGAGAAATGTTAATCATTTTGTATAATGATGCTGAAAATATGATATTGTGAGTGTAAATATAGTTTAACAATTAAAATAAAATATAATATTATTAATATATAATTATAGAAAATATTTAAAATAAATTATAAAATCAACTTTTGAAAGTTTAAAAAAAAGAAAATTTTTAAATTAAGGATTTTTTTATATAACTACCAATTTTTTTAAATTATACATATAGTTTATCTTTTTTATAAAGAAAATATGTGTCCCCCCTCCTCCCACTAAGTGTAAAATTTAATATAAAATTTAAAGAAAAACTAAAACATTAAAAATTATTAAATTTATATAAAAACCTTTTTTATAAACAAAAATATGTTTTATATTTTTTTTTTCTTTTTTTAATATAAAAAAATAGTTTACAAAATTTCTAAATACTACTATGTGTATAATTAAATATTTTTTCCATTAAATAACAAAATAAATCCCCATATTTAAATAACAATTTCTCTAAGAGTGACCCCCCTAGCCCCACTTTTTAAATAAAATAGTAAATATGTAATACATACTTTTAAAGCCTTTAAAATTATAAATAAATAAACTTAAAACTTTAAAAGAAAATAAACTAAATATATCAAAAATAAATAAAGTAAATATATATATAATTGTATGTGTCTGTCTGTAAAAACGTATGCGTGTAATTTTGTTTGTTAACATTTAAAATGTATGTCTAAAATATAACAATTATATTATTAAATAAAATAAAATAAAATATTTTTTATCTTAAAAATTAAAGAAAAAAATGAATTGTTATTAAAAGCTCGTCAAGTTTTCACATATTTATATATAAAAAAAAAAACATAAACAAAAAAGCTATAAAACATTATTAACTACATATAATAATAAAAAATAAACATAAACTAATTGCACTCTCTTCTTTAAAACTTAGCTAAAATAAATCATTAAACAAACATTAAAAAAAAATATTTAATTCAAAACCAGCTTGACACTTAAAGTGTCTTTACGTTTTTGTAATAACATTGCATTAATTTTAAACTAAAAAAAAATTACAAAAAAAACTAAAAAAATATCAAAATTTATTTTAAATATTGTATAAAAAAACAAGGAACTTTCAAGAAATTCATGTGCGTAAACCAACAGAAAAAATAATAAATTTAAATATATAAGATTTACATTTATAAAAAAAAAACAAAACAACAACATACACATTATTATAACATGCATCCCATACATCATTCGAAATTAAAAAACAAACAAAAAAAAAATGGAAAAAAATAAAAAATAATTTTTTTATTTGCTTAAATTAAAATAAAAAAAAATATATATATATAAGTAAAATGTTAAATCAAAACGAAAAGAAATATGAGTTTTATTTAAAGCCAAAGGTAAACATAGCATAACATTAAATTATTGATCTGGCAACACTGGCAAATTAAGTTTTTATGTTTTTCATTAATTATATACTAGAAACAATTGAATTTGCTTAAATAGTTGCAGAGATTGTACAATCTGTAATATTTATGTAATTATATGCTTATTTATAACACATATCCATCTGGCAACACTGTTAAATTAAATATTTTTAAAATCTTCAGAGTCTTCTCTAACAATTAAACTTACAACGTTCTAATTTGGTTAAGTAGTTTACAAGTTCTGTTACTTTAAACATATCCCTCGTCATTAACCCTCTTCTTGTAATTATTAAAAAACTCATGATCTGGCAACTTTGGCAAATAAAGTTTTTTAAATCTTATGCTTTTCCTGTATCTTTAGAACGAAAAATATTTAAATTTGCTCTAATAGATTTTGAGATATAGCCTTTTGAAAATATTTCTTAAAATGTAAGCATAACACTAAAACCTCAATCCGGCAACTCTGTCAAATTAAATTTTTATTTACCTTAAGCTGCTTATTAACAATTACCGTTGGAATCTTTCAATTTGGTGCTGTAGTTATAAAGTTATTAAGTTTTGTATTTTTTAAAAATTAATTGTTAATTTATTGCAATAATCGAGCTGGCAACTCTGTCAAATTAAGTTTTAAACATTTCTACTATATCTACCACATCAATTGTCCTTGGAATGGTTCAATTTGCTCCAGTAGTTTAGGAGATATTAAGCTTTAAAGTTATCCCGTTTTTTTTCCATTTTGTTAAAATTTGGCAACCCTGTAAAGGTATCGTGTCAGCGCCATCTATTGTTTAACATGATGGTTTTTCGTTAAACGTTTTTTTAGGTACCTAAGGAGGGTCAACTTTAAAAGGCAATATCTCGGGAACTACTGCATCTACTTCATTCATTCTAATTGCTATCGGTAGAGGAAGAATTGTAGTAAATAAAAAATTTAATTTGGCAGGGTTGCCAGACTGCTGTTGTAGTTAGTTTAAAGAGATTAAATTTAAAAAGCAATATCTCGAAAACTATTGTATACATTTCATTTCTTTCAATTGATATCGAAAGAGGAAGTATTGTAGAAAACAGAAATTTTGTTTGGCAGGGTTGCCAGGTTGCTGCTGAAGTTACATAGAAAGACTAACTTTAGAAAGTAATATTTTGAAGACTACTGCATAAATTTCTTTCTTTCAAATTGCTATCGATAGAGGAAGTATTGTAGAAAGCAAAATTTAGTTTGACAGGGTTACCAGGTTGCAGATGAAGTTATTTAGACAGATTACATTAGAAAAGCAATATCTCGATAACTACAGTATACATTTCATTACTTCCAATTGCTATCGATAGAGGAAGTATTGTAGAAGTAAAATAGGCTAGGTGAAATAATGGACCGATTTCAACCATATTCAATTGGATCCAGTGAAGAATATGTGCCAAATTTTATCAAATTATATTGAGCAGTATTATTCAGACTTATAAAAATCTAAGTTTTTGAGTGATACTAGAATATTTAACATAATTACGAGCTCAAAAGCCCTATTCGGGGGTCCAGTTGTACTGGGGTTAGGTGAAAAGGAGTAGTTCATGCCAAATTTTAATCAAAGTATCTTAAAAATTGCGAACTGTAGAGTGCGCACAAGGTTTTCATGGACACACAGACATACAGACGGACATAGCTTAATCGACTCAGAAAGTGATTCTGAGCCGATTTAGACCAATATTTTTGGCTGTTACAAACATCAGCACACTACAGTGGTGTAGTGTATAAATAATTCCGATATAATGAATTTTTCGATTTATTTTTTTAAAAATTGCTAATTATTTTCCCCTAAGTATGGCAACTCTGTCAAAATAAGTTTTTATGCAGCTCACAAATTTTCCTTAACCATTACATTTAAAAAATCTTGAAAACATTTAAAAGTTTTCAAAATATAGCATTTTGAATATTCCTTTAGTTATATAAGTAAAAAACAGTCTGGCAACCCTGGAAAAATAAATTTTTAAATTCTACAATTCTACCCCTATCGATAGCATTTAGAATGAATGAATTTGATAAAGTAGTTTCAGAGATATAGCCCTTTAAAGTTACCCCTCCATAAGCCATTAAAAAAGCATTTGCCGTAAATCAATCATGGTGTTCAATAGATGGCGCTGACTCGACCCCTATACAGGGTTGCCAACTTTTAAGAAAATGGAAAAAAGTGGGATACTTTCAAAACGTTATATCTCATAAACTACTGGACCAAATACAACCGTTCCAAAGGCAATTGACTTGATAAATATTCAAGAGAAATATAAAACTTAATTTGACAGAGTTGCCAGATGGGTTATTGTAATAATTTAACAAATGATAAAGCAATGAATACAAAACTTAATATCTTTGTAAGTACAGCAGCAAATTAAACCATTCCAAGGGCAATTTGTAAAGGACATATTAAACTAAATAAAAATTTTATTTGGCAGAGTTGCCATATTGAGAGTTTTGGAAAAATTGAAGTATTAGCAAAAATTGTTCACAAACATATAACTTGGAAACTACTAAAGTTATTGCAATTGTAGTAACGCCTGGATGTGAAGTGGGATTTTAAGTTATGGAAAATTTTATTTGACAGTGTTGCCAGACTTTAGTTGTTTATAATTTAAAAAATTACTTTATTAAAGTTGCTAAATTTGAAAGTACAATCAATATCTCTTAAACCTTTTGACCAAATTTGAAAATTTCAAATGTTATGGATGCAGAAATTATTAGAGTTTAAATTATATCTTAAATTGTCAGTGTTACCAGATCTATATTTGTAATAAATTAGGAATTATTACAATGCTTAATAACTTCATAACTACAGGTGCAAATTTAACAGTTTCAAATGTCATTGATTAAGGATATAACAAGGTAAATTAAAATTTTATTAACCATAGTTGCCAGATCGCTAGTTATTTATAATTTAATGAATGAACTTTAATAATAAGTGATATTTTTATGAGCTATAATATACATATAAATTACTTAACTAAATTAAGACAATCCGTTAAGTAAAGTTGATGAAAAAGACTTTGAGGAAATTGAAAGAGTTGCCAGATTTTTGGCGGTTATAGTAAATAAGCAAATGATTACATAAACAGGGTTGTTTATATTATAATTAGTAAAATATATATTGAATAAGCAAAAATTTAATTTGGTAGAGTTGCCAGACCTCGTTTTTTTACTTATCCAGTTTATGATGTTAAAATTGTATTCCTGAGTAGTCCACTGCAAAATTTCAAATACAATACTTACTTTTATTTAAGCCGGGCACATGAAAGCTTTAATAATACATTATCTCGTGTTCCTCCCAAAAAAACTATTACTTAAATTGATATTGATTAATTAATGACTTATTTATAAGACATTAATTAATATATAATTTGAATTGTTTATATTTAATACTCACCTTTTTACGGTTACTCTTATAAATAACTAAAATTCCTGACTGATTAAAAAAACTCTTAACAATTGAACTATGTATATGTTTGCCTGCTTTATAAACTTTTTATTTAAAATTATCTCTAACAGCCTGTTTTTCTAAAACAATTTAGTTCTCACACGAACATTTCATTTTATTACGATCAAGTTTAAAATTAGGTTTTTATAAAACATTTGAAAGTTTTCGTTTAAAAATGTCTAAAATGAAATGAGCTTTTTCTATCGTAACAGAACATTATTGCCTACGTATTTCATTTCTGAATTTTTAAATATTTTTTCATGTAGAAATAAGGTGTTTGGTGTTAACCCTAAAAAATAAACAAAAATAAAATAATTTTAAAAAAAAATTGAAATTATGAAAAAATGTTTTTTTAAAAACAACATGAAAATTGTATGCAATGTCTCAAGAATTTTAAAGGTTTGTATTGCGAATTACATTCTGGTTCAAATGGCCACATATATTACGTATTTTGGTAAAATTTTCGTTGTTTTTTGGGCAAACGAAAGGCCTTTGCCTATCGTCTATTTCTGACATTTCTTTCGTTTATTACAAACGAATTCATTTTCTAAAAACCAAAAATATATGGAAAAATAAAGCTCTTTCGTTGTCACTCACATGAACATTTATTTTTTCGTTACAAAAACGTAAAGCCAATTTCGTTCGTTATTTTTAAGAACGAAGACAAATTTTCATTTTAGAAAAACAAGCTGTAAATGTTTAAACTGTCACGTAAATTTTTATCATAAACGTTTTTAGCAAAATTAGCAAAAACATTTAACTGATAGCGAAAGTAAATAATACACCGACATACGGTTACAGCATTTAATTTGAATTCGCTAAGTATTTTCAAAACAAAAGTAATGTTTATAGAAATGCTTTAAGTTAGTTCGTTAGTTAGTTAGTTAGTTAGTTAGTTAGTTAGTTAGTTAGTTAGTTAGTTAGTTAGTTAGTTAGTTAGTTAGTTAGTTAGTTAGTTAGTTAGTTAGTTAGTTAGTTAGTTAGTTAGTTAGTTAGTTAGTTAGTTAGTTAGTTAGTTAGTTAGTTAGTTAGTTAGTTAGTTAGTTAGTTAGTTAGTTAGTTAGTTAGTTAGTTAGTTAGTTAGTTAGTTAGTTAGTAGTAGTTAGTTAGTTAGTTAGTTAGTTAGTTAGTTAGTTAGTTAGTTAGTTAGTTAGTTAGTTAGTTAGTTAGTTAGTTAGTTAGTTAGTTAGTTAGTTAGTTAGTTAGTTAGTTAGTTAGTTAGTTAGTTAGTTAGTTAGTTAGTTAGTTAGTTAGTTAGTTAGTTAGTTAGTTAGTTAGTTAGTAGTTAGTTAGTTAGTTAGTTAGTTAGTAGTTAGTTAGTTAGTTAGTTAGTTAGTTAGTTAGTTAGTTAGTTAGTTAGTTAGTTAGTTAGTTAGTTAGTTAGTTAGTTAGTTAGTTAGTTAGTTAGTTAGTTAGTTAGTTAGTTAGTTAGTTAGTTAGTTAGTTAGTTAGTTAGTTAGTTCTCCTCCACAGTTTATGGGTTAATATTACCCTATTTGAATAAAACTTCGGTGGTATACTTCATTTTATCTGGACTATAAAATACTCCATCGAGTTCAAATCTAAACTACAGCTAAACTGTAAGAGGTACTGTTCTAATTCTTTACTGTTGCATTCCGTTATCTATTGTCCGTAAATCCCCAAAAATTCTGAACGAATTTCCTATGTGCAGTTACAGATCATAGAGTTACGCCTCTAGACTTCGAAGTAATAACTCTAATGGAACTTCCAACTAGGTAGACTTGTAACTTTTATCGATGGGTCTAAGATAGTTACCCTCATAGGTGTCGTTGTCTATTTCGTTGATGCCAATATAAATAGGTCCTTCAGACTCCCTGACGAATGTAGTGTCTTCCAAGCACAGATCCTAGAGGTCTGTAAAGCGACGGAAATGATACGGGATCTATTGTCGGTTATGACAACTTATGTCGATAGTCACGCTGCTCTTAGTGCATACGAAACATTCGTGCTTGATGGTAGATTGTAGAAATGCTCTTAGGAACATTATGAGACTGTTTATTATTACACTGTGTTGGATGTCGGGGCTCTACAATGTGATTGGTATTGAAGTTGATGATGAACTAGCTACATTAGGTTCGAGTCTTAACATTGGTGATTAGAATATAAGAGTGAAACCATCCATCTGTTACTATTACAGGATGATTTTCGTAAGAATCTGTGACATCATCAATCAGTCCTAAAATAGTAGAATGGATTGCAAATTATCAAGGGCCTTATAGCCAACACTTAATGTTAGAGTTACCAAGCTACTTATAGGACTGGATAGGCGGATTCTGATAAAGATATTAACGTGGCATTGCTCAATTAGGGCCTTTGTCAGTCAGTGGAACAATAATATATCGAACTATTGCAGATATACGAAGATGCAGAGGAACTAAAGACGATTGATCATATAATTTGCCATTGTCCTACAATACAGAATCTTAGCTTGAAATTGGGTTTTATAGGGAGACTCTTATTCTATTATAATTCTTTCTTAGGTTATCGATTCGGTAAATTTTTCAGCTTGAAATCCCTTAGGAATTGACCTGTTTTTTATGACTCCCTTCTCTACTTATGTTTTTTTGTTGGTTTTTTTCTAGTGTTTTGTTCTTCTATCTTTGGATCTTCATACTCTAAAAAGGAATCATAATGGACTTTATGGTCTCCGAGTGGAGTTGCCCCTTTTTATGGATCATAACCCTTATAAACCTAAACTTTGTTCTTAAAAACAATACATTAAATAAATTATTCAGTATTTTATATAAAAGTAAATCCCAATCTTTAGAGTAATTTACATTTCCTATTACTAACAAATTTCCACGAATACATCTTTTAACGCCCACAGTTATTTTACCAAAATTACGAAATGTGATTGATAAGAGTAAAAAATTCTTTTTGTTTTTACATGAACTCTTAACAAATTAAAAGTCAATAACTTATTTCCCTGCAGAAAAAAATAAACATACAAACTAACGTGAATAAACAAACAATATGCAAACAATTTAAACTGTAGATAAAAAAATAATAAAAACCAATCACAAGTGAAATTGAGTTAAATATTATTATCTATTTAAACGAATATTTACGAATGTTAGCAGAAGTAGCAACTAATGCAAATAGAACATGTAGAAAACCTTTTTAAGAAAACAATTTCCTAATTATTCACAACAGTAGCTTTTCAGGAAGTTAACTAACAAGTTAGTGGTAACACAAACTAGTAAAAAAATAGCAAATTAAAAATTAAAGTTAGAAAAAAAAAGAACAAAATATGTCATCTAAATATGAAATGTGTGAAATCTCAGAGAATAACGGTAAAAATGGCAAACCAGTGTGGATTGTTGTTAAAGGTGTTGTTTATGATGTCACAAAGTTTTTAAAAGATGTATGTTAAGTTAAATATTAAATAAAAGTGTATAAATAACAAATATAAAAAAAACATTTTAGCATCCTGGTGGTGATGAATTAATTTTGGAATATGCTGGCAAGGACGCAACCAGAGCATTTAATGATGCTGGACATTCTATAGATGCTATACAGGATATGAAAATGTATAAAATTGGTGTAGTAGATAATCAGGTGTGTATATAAAGAAGTAAAGAGGGATTTCAAGAGTAAACTATTGAAAATAGCTTTTACATTTAAAACATTTTTTACCCAAAAAAGCTTTTCCTTGAAAATTATTTTTATAAATACCTTGTCACAAACTATTTTTGTGAAAAAGCTTTCTTGATGAAATACATTAAAAAAAATTCTTAAGAAAAGCTTTATTAGTAATAAAAAAATCTTTAAACAATGAAAATTTTATCCTTATTTTTTATATAAAAGAGCTTTTTAAAAAAATCTTTCCTGAAAAATTGTAATTCGTAAAAATATTTTTTGACAAAAAGCTTTCTAAAGAAAATTAATTAAAGGAAATTGTTCGAGAGCTTTTTTTGATAAAAGAAAAATCTTATTTCACAAAAAGCTTAATTGATAAAATGTTTTTTCCTAAAAATTTTCTTGGTAAAAAACATTTTTATAAAAAAAAAAAAAATTATAAAAAACGTTATTAATAAAAAGCTTTTTCGTAAAGCTTTCTTTATAAAAAGCCTTTTTATTTATAAAAAAAAGCTTTTTAAAAATATTCCTAAAAAGTTTTTTTCGAAAGCAGCTTTTTGATATTTTGTTAAAAAGCTTTTCAAAAAAGTTTTCTTGATAAAAGTGTTTTTTAAAAACTAGTAAAAACTAAACTAATAAAAAGCTTTTTCGTAAAGATTTCTTTATAAAAAGCTTTTTAATATAATTTTAATATTTTTTCGATAAAAGCTTTTTAAAAAGTATTCCTGCTAAAAAGTGTTTTTGTAAAGCTTTTTGTAAAAATCAGCTTCTTGATAATATTTTGATAAAAAGCTTTTTCATTTAAAAAAACTTTTTTGATAAAATGTTTTTTTTTTTTCACAAAAAAGCTTTTTTGATAAAATGTTTTTTTTTTACAAAAAAGCTTTTTTGATAAAATGTTTTTTTTTTACAAAAAAGCTTTTTTGATAAAATGTTTTTTTTTACAAAAAAGCTTTTTTGATAAAATGTTTTTTTTTCACAAAAAAGCTTTTTTAAACTGTCCACTTTTAACTTTTAAAGTTTTTTTAACAAAACAGCTTTTTATGTTTAATAATGCCGAATTTGTTTTTTTAATGTACATACTAGAAAAGCTTTGTTAGCCATATAACTTTTTTTACACTCTGTTTATAAAGTTTTTTTAATTTTACCGCTGAAAAGTTTTTCGCAACTCTTTTGTTAAAAATCAGCTTTTTCGTTAAAAACATCTTTTCTGATAAAAAGTTTTTTTGCAAAAATTTCTCCGAAAAGATTTATTTTTAATAAACTTTATAAAAAGCTTTTTTTTTACAAAACATACCAAAAATGCTTTGTTGGCTTTTTAAAGTACTTTTTTGTAAAGAAAGTTTTTTTTTGAACTCTCCCGATTAAAAGCTTTTTTAAAAAGCTTTGTCAATTTTTCAAGGCTTTTTAATTTTTTCTTCTGCTAAAAAGTTTTTCGTAAAGCTTTTCTTTAAAAATCAAATTTTTCGGTAAAAAAAAAATCTTTTCTAATAGAAAGCTTTTTCACATAATTTCCCCAAAATTATTTATTTTTTAGCTTTTTTTCTTAGCTTTTTTACAAAATATACGAAAAAAAAACTTTGTTCAACTTTTTCACTTTGCCGTTAGAAAGCTTTTCAAAAAATATTTTTACTAAATAGTTTTTTTCCTAAAGCTTTCTTGATAAAAAGCTCTTTTAAAAAAAGCCTTTTCCCAAAAAAAACTCGTTTCACCAAAAAATGCTTATTATTAAAAAGCTTCACTTTATAAAAAGTTTTTAAAGTTTGTTTCAACAAAAGTGCTTCTTATAAAGCTTTATTGATTTTTTCAGCTTTTCCTAAGGAAATTCTCATTGTATTATTTATTCTTTTCCTTTCAGTGCTCTCAACAATGTGTTATTTCAACACTTTCCACAACTGAATCTAAAAAATTGTCCTCCGAAGCCACAAACGAACAGCAACAGTGTTGTCGAAAGGAAAAGAAACGTGTGAAATTATTCTTTTGTTTTTGAAAACATAGAAAATAAGTTTTTAACTATAGTTAATTTAGGACTTAGGAAATTTTAACTAAAAAAAGATGGATTTTTTTTATTAAATTTTCAAATTTATATTTAACGACATAAAAAAAGGGATTTCATTAATTTTATTAAGAAAAAAAAAACTATAATAATAGAATAGACCCTAATCGTAAAACATATATTATGCTAACTTTGTTTTAATATTTTTATATATGTAAGTATATGTATGTATGTATTTATTGTATATATACACGAATATAGATTTAAATAATAAAAATTAATATTAGCTTTTTCATTTTTTGCAAATTAAAGAAGAATAAAGTAAAAAGTAAAATATACATTAAATAAAACTTACTTTCATTTGTGTGTGTTTGCAGTTTTTCAGAATATTTTTTTTTTGCATTTTGTTATTATTATAGAGTCTATGTATTAGGATTGCTTATGGGTAATGGGGGATTGTTTATGGTTTGGTTTTCTTCGGTATTATCGCTAAATTGAAATGCCTCACAGGCCAAATCGAAATGTGTAGTGGAAAAATTGCACACATTAATGCTATAATTTCTTAGATAATGATAGAAACGTGTTGAACGTCGTTCTAAAGTTGAGCGTATTTTCTCGCTACGACATATAGAACGTAGAGCGGGTTCATAGTCCAGATTAAGAGCTCTATTAGAGCGTAATTGCATTGAACCCAATTGTTCACATAATGATATGCTGTAATAAAAAATGTTGAATAATTTATTAAAAATAATTAAATATTTTCCACAATATCACTCTCACCTATTCTTAGGTGTATCAAACAGATTATAGGGACACAAATCTGCCTCCAAATCCACCTCAATGGCTTTTTCCAATAAACAATGTGCTATCGTTTCCGAAACATTTGGTTTAAGACGATCTACAATAGAAGGTTTTTGTTTATTTTGCTCTTGATAATGAAACTGATTGTCTTGTTCATCCATAAGAGCTGCTACGGAAAGATTTTCATAAAATGAACACAAATTATCCAAAGGAGTTTTAGGTTTTGCTGTAGCTGTCGTTAACCATTGCTTTTTGGGAGATTTTGATTTACGTTTAGTTGTTGTGGTGGATTTTGTGGTAGCAGCTTCTTGATTAACCTCGGTTTTAAGTTTGCGCGAAACATGAAATATTTCATTTAGATTAACATTGAAAAGATGAAAATCTATGGGAAATGGTATGCGCCATTTGGAGTTTTGTCCCACAGTATAATATTCGAATAATGAACGATGCATATAGACTTTATCACTAGCTTTGGCATTGTTGTTTGCTTTATCTGAGGGTACATTACTGTCACTGGTTTCAGTGTCTTGTTGTTCTACCGAGAACTGACGTTTTCGTGGTGAAGCAAAATAATTTGGATTTTCTTTTTCATTCTTTTTGGAAGCTTTTCTATCCAGCAATTGTCTTTGTCGATCACCACCAGTTTGTATAAAGAATTGCAATTCCAATAAGGTTTTTCTTAAATCCCGACGATTATACAAATACAATGAAATGAGATCGTCTAATTGTACAGGACAATTTTCTATAAGAGATAATACAGCTAAGAATTTTGATATGTTTAGCACATTGGGCGAGGAAAAGTGTATGGTATTTTGTGCCATTAAACGTTGCAGATGGGCACAGTTGGGATTTGAGGCAACTACAATAACAGGTCTCTTAGAACTAGCTGCCAAAGTATAGATAGCATCGGTAAAACCAGCATCGGTTTGTTCAAACACTATATCGGCATCTTCTATTAAAATTAAACACTTACGTGCCGTTTGCTGCAGATCCGAGGAGTTGGAATCACTGTTTTGTGCTTCCAATTGGTTGGAGTTTGAGTTTTGCCTTTTAAGTTTGCTTTTAAGGCCATTCAAAGACATTTTCAATAAACTTTTTTGCGAAGAACCTGAACCAGCAGCATCCTTACGTATTTGATGAGATTGTGTAGCCTCTTGCAATTCTTGTATCAAACGCTTACCCGTTCTCTTCATGCCGGCATTTATTTCCAAAACATTAAAGTTCATTTCGTTGGCCAAAGCAAAAACGGCATTTGTTTTGCCACTGGAAACGGGTCCCAATAAAACTACAGTATTACAGGAAGGTCCTTGATTGCTACAAGTAGAATCATTTAAATCCATTGAATCGTCTAGAGTTTGAGAATTTCTAGCACTTCCAGTGCCACCATTTGACCAGTTTGAAAGAAATTCTTTTAGCTGTGTAACTGGATTTAAATTTACCAAGACTTGTTCGAACAGTAAGGGTTTATATTTCTCACTGAATAGTAATTCACCATTGGGTGCTGTAGGTGGTGGTTTGTACTCTTCGTCGGGATTGTCGGGTTCTTTTTTCTTTTGTGCCTCTAAAGAACGTCGAGTTTGTCGTGTAACTACAAATGATTCGCTTACTTGTTCCGACTCTTGGGCAGAATCTATAGCACTGAAATAACGATATTTTTCACGCATTTGATTGTAACACTTGTAAGTGGGAAAACGTTCAAATTCTGTTTTCCAGTTCTTAATAATTGCCCGTTTATTCGCCAGTGAGGGTAATGTAATCTGATCCAAGTTGAAATCAAGACTTTTGTTCTTTTGCAGCTGAAAGAAAAAAAATAAAATTTTCATTTGAACACAGAAAAATCGAAATTCCATCAAGAGATTAAATTTGAAAAAATCTAATATTTACCTGAAAATCTACAGCCAAACAATCAGATAAAGTACCCACATTGGATTGACGTTTATTCGACTTTGCTTTAGCTCTCCTGGTCGGTGATGGAGTCTTAACTATAGTTTCTTCTGAATTTAATTTAAATGAACACTTGGCTATTTGTTTATCCACCTCTAACTCCTCTTCATCTAATTGTTTAACATGAGAAACTTTGGGAAAAATTTCCGTTGTTTCTTCAAAATGCTGTTCATATTGTTTTTGTTTCTCCTGTTCGAGGCGTAATTTTTCTGGAACTCCTGACTGTAAGAAAGCCTTACGTGCTTTAAGTATTTCAGGATCGGGACTAGGTTTGGGTAGTGAACGCATAAAGAGAGGAGCTAATTTTTTAGGTGTTCCTTGGGGTGTAGTTGTACCACAACCACTCATATTTGTACTATCATCTAGAATAATAATATCAATAGACTCTTCCTCTGGGGGAACCTTTAAGGTAGGTGTATTAACTTTACGTGTTGCAGCTTTACGGCCGGGTGTACTTTTGGCTAATTTTGCAACTTTTGTAGGACTATTTTCTAAATCGTAGTCATAACGTGCTTTGCTGGCACATGAACGTCTTGGTCTACCACTGGGCGTACCAATATCATTCGCTGTATCTTCCTGTGTTTGCTGATTGGCTGCTGCGGGGGTACTATGGTTACTGGTTGCCTTTTTTCCAGTCCTTTTGGGTGTATCTGGCTTTATTTCTACTTTCACAGTTTGATTGTCCAGTGGTTGTGGGACTTCTTTTAGCGCTAATTCTTTGGGTGATTCCTTTTTAGGAAAATAACCCAAAAGACTGTCACGTTTTTTTGTAGGAGAATTTAGCTTTGCCAAGAATTCGGAAGTTTCGCTATCGACTTTTATCGGTGTTATTGGCTCCAAAGAATCTACAGAATCCACCGAACTTAAACGACGTACTCTAGGACCTCTGCGTTTTTTTGGCTTATCCTTTTGAGGATTTTCCTTCGGTTTATTCTTGCTAGCTTTTGTTTTGGACTCTGTTTTGGCAGTGGGAGAAGTAGTAGTTTTTGGACTAGCGCCAGCCACAAGCATTTGTTTAAATCTAAATTAAATAAAAAACATTAATTAGTATGATTTTTATTGTTATATTCTAAGTTTACATAAATTTTAAAACAATTGCAATGTTTTATTTACCTTTTAGCTCTTTGCTCCAACTGTTCATCAACATAGGCAGCTCGTGCCTCTTCTTCTAGTTTACGTTTGGCGCCACCCTTTTGTTCAGCCCATTCCTGCAGCTTCAGTTTACGTTTGGCATTTGCTACTGCCAATTCCTTGTTGGCAATCGGAGAAGGTGAGTCTTTACCGGGAGTATTGGAACCTATAGATTTATTGCGAGCATTCATCATCACCTCAAAAGCATTTGTGACCTTGCAGTTTTTGGGAGGCGTTGTAGCTTTTTCATTATTTTTATTTTCATTCTCCTCATCAGCAATTACTTGTACTTCATCGTCAACTTGGTTAGAAGACTGCTGCTGATCTTCTTTTTTAGGAGTTCTGGGAAAATGCTGTAAAATTGTACCCGATTTAATGGGACTTTCTTGTAATACTTTGCCATTTTCAACAGTAGATTTCTCCTGCAAAGGCTTCTTTTTCGAATGGCGTCTCTCTTTATCTTTGTGTTTATGTTTCTTTTCAGAATGTTCTTTCTTTTTGGTATCCTTCGTATCCAGCTCAGTAGTTGAAACATGTTCTGTTGTACCATTATTAGCCGCTTCAATCATGGCTAATTTCTTCAATTCTTTTTTACGTCTATGCTTCTCTTTGTGTTGTTTCTTTACCGAATCCAAAACTTCTTCCATATTTTGCAAAATGATTTTGGAATCTAAGCGTGGATAGTGTACCACTACCGGCACCGGATCAGAGTCTTCGACAGCGGTCTTGATATTAGAGGCTGGAGCAGTTTCAGCTCGGCTTTCGGCTGTGTTTAAATTGTTTTCAATTGAATAGGAATTCAATTCAGTCATACTGTACTTTTCACATTAACTAATAAAGCTTAACACAAGAATATTTGTTTTTTGTATTTTTTATAATAAGAAAAAAAGAAGCAGCCACACAATTACAAAGGAAATTAAAAAAAGAACAACACAAAAAAAATCATAAAATCTCAAAGTACTTTTAGCAAAGAACAATAAAATTAAATTGAAAAGCAAAGAGTAAACATTTTGTAGGTAATAATAAATATTTATTTTATGCTAAACGAGTATTACTTTTTTCTAAAAACAGCACACTTACAATTCAAATTGTTCCCTAAAAATTGTGTATATTTATTGTAGCGTTTTAACTAGACCACATTAAAAGATATTCATGCCAACAAGACTTTTTTGGTGTCACATTTTATTAGAGCACATTTTGAGTTTTTTCGAATTCTGTAAAGGAATCTTTGTTT